TTTCTCTTAAAACAAAATATAAAGTAGATTTCTGCAGTGTCCGATTTCTGGGAATAAAATTTGACACAAAACTGAGTTTTGAAAGTCAAGTAGACTATGTGGCAAGGAAGGTTTCCATAAGCATGTATGCATTTCGGCGATTGGCTAAGTGTGTGGAGAGTGATGTGTTAGTAGCTGCCTATCATGCTCTCATTCACTCGGTGCTTACTTATGGAATACTTGTTTGGAGTCACTCAGCTCATGCTGAGAGACTGTTTGGACTGCAAAGAAAAGCATTGAGAATTTTGTCAAATTTAAGTTATCAAGCAGATACAAAAAACGCCTACAGAAGACTGGGAATACTGACACTTCCATGTTGCTATATCCTCCAATGTCTTTTATTTGTGAAGGATAACCTAGAACTATATGCTACGCATGATGAACAACACAATTATGCAACCAGAAACAGAATGAATATAAAGCCTGTTCATTTGCGCCTCGGAAGATCTTGGAACTCCAGCCTTCATTATGCTCCTGCATGCTTTAATAAATTATCTCAAAATGTCAGAAATTTACCAAGACATCAATTTAAAACGATAATTAACAGCTACCTTCTTGATATGGCTTATTTTAGTGTTACAGATTTTTTAGAAAGCAGTGAAGGGTTATAGCGTGGTTATAGGTCAAAACATTTACATTGTGTATGTATTGTTTTTTTGTGTACTTTAAATTACTGTTAGATAATTATTGTGCTTATTTTATAATTTTGCATTTTACAAAATATGACTTTGTGTAAGGATACTTGTATCTATTAACATGCAATAAATGATTTGATTTGATTTGAAAGCAAATACCTAATATAGTTTTGATCTCAGGACAGTTTTTGTATTTTTAATAATTTTTTTAAGAAAGGCTGATAAATGTATATTTTTTATTTATTTATTAATATCTAAAAAACTATCGAAATATATTTACCCATTTTAGAATTATGTAAAGTGATCGAGGAATTAGAATTATGTAAAGTGAGAGGAAGCCAAAAATGCGATAATACACAGGGTGTTCCATTAAAAAAAATCATTCCGATTTACTCACATTTTTTTAAGCCACCCTACAGAAGTTAAAATATTTTCCTGAAATACATCCTCGTACATAATTTAGGTTTGCAACAAACAAAATTCCCAAGCTTTTTATTCTGGGAGCTACAGATGCCCGACGCGACGCACTATTGCCGGACCCTGTATTGTTAATATGTTAGATTTATTATGATTCAACGCATAATAAAACTACTATAGTCTGTAAAACGAATAACTTTGAATTTGACAGTTCCCGCGGGCTGTTCTAATGTTAATTTTATTAGGTTAGCAACTTGCGGCCATGCTGACGCAATGCCGTCTCTAGTAGAACAGCCTCGGGGCGAGATTTATGACGTCACGCTAGTTAGATACTACGGATTAATAAATATGTTGTAGAATGCATGGAAAACAAAATTATTCCTCGTATTATCGGTTTGTATTTTGAAAATGATATAGTTTACATGAAATATACATAATATGCAGTTAATAAATACAATATATATATACCTATTTATAGTAATAAATATTTTGGCAGGTAAACTATGAACCATACAAATGCAGCAAATGTTTTACAATATGGCTGAAATCGTACTCGATAGTCAATTTAGATAGTTTTTGTATTAAGAATAATAATTTAAAAAAATATGTGGTCATCTTTTGACAAGTTTATATTAGTTTATTAATTGCAGTAAACATTATAATATATAAATAAATTTTGTGAATCAAATAATAATACATCACTATTAATATATATTGAATGTTTTTTGTTAAATTAGATCGATTTTCAAACCCCAAAATTTAAAATATATTTTACATTTTACCCATTATCTTATGTACCACCTATTCATTATTTGTATATTGTAAAACATTTGCTGCATTTGTATGGCTCATAGTTTATTTGCCAAAGTATTTATTATTATAAATAGGTATATATTATATTGTATTTATTAACTGTATATTATGTATAATTCATGTAAACTATATCATTTTTAAAATACAAACCAAAAATACGAGGAATAATTATGTTTTCCATGTATTCTACAACATATTTATTAATCCGTAGTATCTAACTAGCGTGACGTCATAAATCTCGCTCCGTGGCTGTCCTATTAGAGATGACATTCGTCTAATATTTAGAAATGTCAAAAGCTGATGACATTTTACTTTTGTCAGTTATGACATTTCGTGTTGATTTTTGCAAGAAGAGGAAGAACTGTCACTTGTTTTATTATTTTCCTTTTCTATTTCACAAAAGTAAAAAGAGTTACCTATCTAATTCGTTCATGCACTCAATTTAAAGAATATCAGTAACTTTTTTGACAGAGGAATTTTATATTTACCATGTTGGTAAAAAATAACGGTCAAAATTCAGAGTTATTCATTTTATAGACTATACAAACAAATCATCCAATAATTAGAAAATACGAAGATTCTCAAACAATCCTAATAGGTGTTCCGTAATTAGTTTTGTGGATGCGTTCCATGCTGATAACTTTTTAAAACGAATACTAATTTCACTATACGTTCGCCATGATCCCTATTTTAATATCCACGTGCATGTTCTCTAAAAGCTTCAGCGATGTGCATTTTATCCGGCGGATTTTTGTATTTTTTTCGTTAACGGCCTGTCCGGATTTCAGTTTTTCATTTCATAAGCCAGGCGAAGGCTTTCCATGACGGCAAAATGTAAAACTCCTTTCGTAATACAAAAATGTAATACCGCGTTCCCGTGGATCAGAAAATGTTCCAGTAGCTTTATAGTTAATTAATTTGTTAAACGAATTATTGTTTAGCCCGCGTTCAGAATTAATAACTATTTAACAGTAAACAACAATGTTAAGTTGATAAATAGCCTGATACAGTTGTTCAGGGTGTCCCATTTTTGGGTGTTTCACACAGGGTTTGTCTTTTATGAGTTAAGATAGAAAAAGACGTCTTTTTTATGAAAGAAGAGATGCTACACACATATTATTTGTCATAGCCTTCTTAGTTCCTGAAATACAAGGCAAATTTGAAAATCTTGTATTTTTTGACCTCCTTCATATCTCGGATATCTTATCGAAAAGTTGGAAGAGTCCTACAGATTTTTTTCACCTAGAATTCAAAGGCGTAACTAGATTTTTGCTGGAAGCTGTAATTTTTGAAATATGACCCCAACTTATGTTTCTTTTAAATGAGATGCCCTGAATATTATTTTTTTTTATTTTTTTTATTCCTTGGCTTTCTAAAAATATAATGCAGTCTATACTTATTTTCATCAACAAGGTAAAAAATGCTTTATTTAAATTTTTACCTTGTGTCGTGGAGACAATGAAAAATTTGACAAACTAGCAAGTCAAGGATCAAAGGAATCCTATCTTGGTGCAGAATCAGTATTGGGAATACCCAAATGTTCACAAAGTAATTGCTAGTACTTAGCAGTTCACAATCACAAAGTAATTGCTAATACTTGCGTGGCTGTAGAATGTAGAATGTTTAGGAGGGGAGTTAATCACCGCGACCTTACAGATCTATTGTGTATTCCCCTTTCTTAAGGCGGGTTCGCACTTGTCAGTTTCGCTGACGCAGTCTGACTGATTCATTATCAATGAAAAATAAAAAACAACGATTGTATTCACACGTTTCATGTTTTGCTACATTCAGTATTCAGTTGGTCCAAACATTCTAACGTGGTGATTTCGTATAGACATGAAAATGGTTAAAACAAAATTGAAACCAGGTGTTCGCGAAGTTTGTTTACAATTAGCAAATGAATTACAGAATATTCTGGTGAATCAGAAAAGAAAGAAAAAACGTCGTAGGTGGTCAGGTCCTGGATATTGCGAAGAAATAAACGGGGTGCTAGTGAAACTATATTAAAAGAATTAATTAACTTAACTTGTAAACTGCACAAATCACGAAAATGTAGTTCTCACGCAAATGAAAAAAAGTAGAACTGGTTTTCACTTTAACTGAAAGTACGAATCATTTAACATGAAAATGTGTTCTGACGTTCATTGTTTGTTCAGTATCACTGAATCAGTCAGACTGCGTCAGCGAAACTGACAAGTGAGAACCCGCCTTTAGGGCTTTAACAAAAGCCAGTATATGAGATGACTCCACAGAGGCCAGCTCTTCATCCTCGACATCAGCCGTACCAAAGTTCATGGCACGAACGGTCGTCGCCTCGGCGCACTCAGTGATAAGGTGTTCTGGTGTTTCCCCATTTTTCCCACAGAATCTGCATTCGTTTCTCAGCTTCAGCCTACTGAGGTGTTCGTTGAGGAGACAGTGTCCTGTTAGAACATCCGTGGGGACAATCCGAAGATTGTTTTTACTTAAATCAAGGAAAACCTTTCATTTTTCTCGGTCGTAAGTTCTGAGGAACTTTTTCGAGTGTTACGGATGGAGTCTTCCAGATTCTTCAGTTCCGCTTTCAGTTGGTTCCCGCTTGGAAAACAGAACGGTTCTGGTCCAGTTAGTGGAGTGTTCGCTCCTTTTCTAGCTAGATCATTTGCTTTTTCATTGCCTTCTATTCCTTGGTGAGCAGGCACTCAGAGTAGGAGGACTTTATTTTCTTTGCTTAATTTGTTGAGCTTCTCTAGACATTCTTTGACCAACTTCGAATTGATAGTTATTGAGTTGATCGCGTTTAGTGCTGCTTAACTATCGGATAAGATGGCTATTTCCTGTTTTCGATATTTCCTACCGATGCTACCGGAACAAGCTGATAATTCTGTATCGAGGAAATCTGGTGCTGTAGACCCTTCGATAAAAATCGAAGATATAATATGTCACTACGGGGCTTTGGATGGCAAGAGGCACTTTCTATTTGAGGAACCAACGCTAGAACCGAAGAAATTATGCCCCTATTCTATCGAGAACCTAGGGTACGAGAAGAAGTGATCATACGAAAGTGGGGATGGATAGGACATACTCTAAAACAGCCTAACGACAACATCGCCAGAAATGTCCTTGACTGGAACTCACAGGGCAACGGAAAAGAGGACGCCCAAAACAAACATCGCGCAGAACCATAATGGAAGAGCTAGCGAAGTCAAGAACATCCTGGCCAGAAGTTAAGAAAATTGCAAAAAACAGAACAAGATGGAAAGTTTTCACTGAAGCCCTATGTCTACTTAGGACCTAAAGGAAACAATGATGAATGATCAGTGGTGATGAATCCTGGATTTATTCTTACTTAGCATAGGAGACTAGAAGTAAACATAGAAAGGGGACAAAATACTGTAGGCCCATGATACAAATACAAAGAATACAAGGTATGATATTGCGCAGGTTGGTCACTACGTCACAGGTGATAAACGGCACCAGTGGTCGGCAAGCTCCGCGCGCCAGTTTCAAATTGTCAAACAGATGACACATAATAAATGTAACAATAATTTTTGAAATGTCACGCAAATTTTAAATGATTTGACATAACTATTGGGGTTATGTCCTAATTCTTCCCTAAAATAGAGAAGAATTCTTTTTTTATTAGTGGCAATTGAACAATATGGATATTCTTTTGTATGGCGTACGACGTCACAGGTGGTATGCGCAAACTTAACGAAATTGGAGCCGCTATTGATCATACCTTGTTTTCTTTGTACCATGCTTTAGGCCTTGCAAATCGCTGTGTTTCTGGCAAAGGACGGGCCTTTAATACTGAGAAATAAAGTTTTTTGGTGTATTATAACGAACTAGTGTATTTTATTATTGGCAAAATATACAAGATACAAGACTTCTTTCAAATTCATTAGTAATAGCAGTAAACTCAAGAATAAAGTAATTTATGCATGATAAAAAAATATAAAACATTTTAGTAGAATACACATTTCAATTATTTTGGCTTATATTTATTTAATAGTATAAACGTTTTCGGCCTAGTGGTTTAAAAAACAATTATTAATATATTTGAATTTTGAATTAAAACAATTTTTATATTAAAATAAACATTTCATTATTATTGTTTGCCTATATTTTCATAATACTTTTCTGTAGATATTTCAACGTTACGCAAATATTTAATTAATAATATTATATTAAATAATTATGCGTATGTCCCCCTAGAGGAAAAACTTTTTTACTATTGGCATTTTGAGAGAAATTCTTTATCAAAAATTTTGCTTGTTTTTGGTGGAAAATTGAAAAAAAAACATGAAAATATGGTTGAATTTTTTCTGTTCTAAAAATTAAAATGCGTTTCTATGGTAATATAATTTCGATTTCATTCTTTGATAGGTTATTATTAATTTTGATTAACGTCGTATTATTTGCTGGTTATTAAAGTATCACAACATTATTATTTAAAATTAAACTAAATAAATTCTGTGCTTCTTTAAGATTTTAAAACAGCAAAAAATGTTACGTTAATTAAAATTATATCAATAACAATCAGTCAAAGAATAAAAACAAAATTATATTACCATAGAAACGCGTTTTGATTTGGTTTGGACCATGGCTGGGAAACTTAAATGGAAATGACAGTTCATTAAAAATAGTTTTTCCTCCAAGATGCAGAGGCGCAAAATATTAAAACTGTCAATATTAACAATGCAAATGTCAATATCTGACAATAATAAAATTTGATTTTTAACTGTCACTCAGAGACGCTTTTGTTGTGATTTTACGGTTTGATTTCGTTTTGATTTGTCGAATTATTGTAAAATGAAATTCCTTCAGATTTTTGCCAGTATTCTGTTTTAGACAATGTTTTTTTTAAAAATGGTGGGACAATTTGTGTTTTGTAATAACTCTTAATTATTTTTTATCATGGAGTTTAATTGTTGTACACCTGGTTTCCGAAGGATACAATGGTAAGTAAATTAAACATATCTACTTACAGTTATAGATTTTTTAAATTAGTACTGCTAATAAATGCTACTTGCAGAGCAGTTTTTTATTTTTTTTTACGGTGCATGTAAGGAATTAAGGACGCGCGTTTTATATTAGCATGATCAGCAGATGATTACATCTGATTTAATTTGTTTTTATTATTTCAGGTCCCAAACGGAAACAAACTGGGAATCTTGCCCACACCAAAATTATATACCTAGCCGTTTCCAATTCACTTCAAAGGGAGGAAAATTATGTAAAACTGCCTACTATTTGCTGAAAACCGCCAAAGATTAAATTATAACTGTAACAACTTAATATATACCATTTCTAGTATTTTTAATATATTTTTTAATTAATATCCGACATATAATTTTTTTGACTTTTAATTCAGTTGATTTATCGTTTATAATATGTTCGACCTAATTAAAAGCACACAAAGTGTTCTTACATGTATGTCTAAATTTATTTTAAATTAACTAAAACAACCCCCCTTCCCCGCACCCCTCTCTTCCAATAGTATTTCTTCCTCCATCTACCAGAGGCGCCCTTGTATAATAAAATTGAAATGTATTATAAGTTGCCTATCTATTTAATAGTATAAGTCTTTTATCTATGGTTTGGACTTAAAAAAACATATTTTCAGTTGTTTTTTTTTAATTTCTCTAAAACGGCATGGCAATTTGAAAAAAATATAAGCAGGATTAATCATTTTAGAACAAGCATTTCTATGAGGTATGCATTTTTCTTAATATGTCAATAATAAAAAAATTTTTCCTCTTGTAAAGACAATTACTGTCCTCCATTCACGCAGTTGTGCAGCTCTGAACTGTTCAAGAACGCGATACTCTCACTCCATTCAACTGAGTCATAAAGTTCAAGAACTGTTCCGCGCCACATGGAGGCACCAAGCTATCGCGCACAGCTCCTTTCAGAACCGTTCTCGAGTAGCCTAGGGCGTAAAGCTCTGGAACTTGAAATTCGCGAAGCTATTGTTGTATTATGTAATTCAAATCTTTAAAATAAAAACAATAACAAAAATATACCATAAAATCAATCACAACAAAGTATAAAAATTTAAATTTAGTAATAGTTTATTAGAATATAATTATAAATACACTTTATCCTAATATAACGAATTTTATGTATGCACTATAAAGGCATTTTTATATAAATAAAATCAGGGAATTAACCACTGAAATTAAAAATATTAAAATCACAATGTTTATTTTAATTGAAAACCACTAGGTTTAGAAGTTATTATTTATTTTAGTCAGTTTTGTTATTTTCCATTTACGCTTTTCATTCTATATTCTACATCTCTACATCCTTTTTAAAACATCCAATATCAGTTAGAATTAAAATTGTGGAAAAGGTTATAGGTTAAAACCATTAATTTTTAGACAAAAAAAAAAAAATTACCAAAATAATTTCTTTTTTCAATTTGACTTTAATAATTTTATCAATAATATTTTACAGAGAATTTATTATATCTCTCTAAAGATCATGTTTCCCTAAAAACTCCAGTTTGGCTTAAAGGGACTAATAACTTTCCCTCGGCTTTCTCCGGACTTTTTCTTTTTTTTTCTGATGCTGCGTTTCTGGATTTAAACCGACTTTATGGTTTTAGGACCTCGCCACTCGGATCTGAAACTTTTACAAACCGAAAAGAATTAAAAAGAAGAAAGTGAATATTGACCTTATAGGCCAAACTGTTTGAATTACTTTTTTATTCCATGTTTCTTTATTATTGGCACTACAAAGAATTTCCGACTTTCATTATTCTCTATATATAATTTAAATTTACACAATATCCCAAGTAGGAAAATAAATTTTATAAGGTTTGTATAAGAGCAGTGTAGGATATTGACATTTTTGTAAAGTGCTACAAAGCAATTAAATGATCTTTATAATAAAACTCATTTTTATACGACAGTTTGGTAGTATAACAGTTTTATTAACAATTTATAAAACTTATACAATTGTTTCAGACAGCTTTATGCGACTACTACAAAATTACTGTATAATGTATTATTTTATCGATATAAGAAAGTATTTTATTTTATAGAGTGAAAAATATTAAAACCAAGTAATATTTTAAGCGTTTTATGAATTAAATATAAGATGGGCACTCAGTCATGTGGAAGGACAATGGAAGGTTTGAATAATAAAAATTTTGTTTCAGTTTCTTGCAAAAATAAAAAAAGGGTTTTTATTTTTTGAAAAAAAAATTTTTCTTAAAATTCTCTTATTTTTAATTGATTTTATTTTTTTTACTTCATAATATTATTCTTCAAATAATAATAAACTTATACTTTACAATTGAAGGGTCCAGGGGAAAAGCTTGATAAGCGCGCCAATTTCTTAATTTTAGAATTTTACAATGTTATAATAAGTCTAACTGGTCCGTACTAGTAATGGGAATTCGCAATTCTTTTTAGTGAATCGAATCACACGATTCAATTTCTCATATTGAATCGAGTCCTACGATTCGTTCATTTGAACGAACCGGCACGTAATTGGCACTACCGGCGATAATTTGGTAGGAAAATTACTTAAGAGACCAGAAAAAAAATACAGTTGTTCTTTCATTTATTTTTTAACACTTTATGACACTGGCGTAATTGGATTGATTATTTTACCAATAATATTAAATTATCAATCCAATTTATATACTATTTATTAGAGACTTCTTAATACCAATTTAATAGTTTTATAGCCATATTTTAATTCCAAATTAATAATCATAATAAATAATATATAATACCGCATGATCGAAAAAAATGGCGTCTAGTTGGCTTGGAAGTGAACATCGATGACATTCCCCATATCATTTTACATATAAAATGACAGCGATCTTCATTTTATAACCATCGCTGAAGCCGTTTATTTATCACATTGAGCAAAGGCCAACAATATTTATTTGGAGTTGCATAAAAACACGATTTCGTCTTTTAGTCCCAGATTTAATAGTCGGTAATATTATTTTAACAAAAATATTAACGTGAAAATTAAATACTTTACAGACGCTCTACTAAGCACAGTATAAATAAGTTTTTTTGTTGTAATTAACTTTCTTGTCGTTAGCATTTTATGCCCATGATGTTTGTTTAGGGCTTTTGGTCAAGCCTAAATATTGGTGCCTGCATTTATGCCTATATCACCGCCGCGCCGGCGCCGCTCCGTAGAAACGAACGATTGCATTGTGATCCGATTCTCACAATTCTTTTTTACGGCTGATCGTTCAAATGTTATGGATCTGTGCTGGCCACGATTCAATTGAACGAACCGGATTGCAAGCAATGATTCGAATCTCACAATTCATTTTTAATACTCGTTCAAATGAACGACTAGTTCAATCTTTGCCCACCTCTAGTCCCTACAAAATGTATTAAGTCTGTAGGACAATAAGTTGTTGAATCCTATGATATATGCCAAGTAAAAATATAGAATACACGGAAAGAACCTGATAACCATCAGCCGTCCAGTGCTCTATACTCTCAAATTAGTAAAATGGCGCTTATCATGTTTTCCCCTGGACCCTTCAATTTAGTTCAATATTGCCAACTCAATTGCATAATGACAGCGACAGGCGATGTAGAATGTAGAATGTTTAGGGAGGGGAGTTAATCACCGCGACCTTATAGATCTATTGTGTGTTCCCCTTTCTTGAGTTATAACTCATCATACAGTCTCAGGGCTTTAACAAAAGCCAGTATCTGAGACGGTTCCACAGAGGCCAGCTCTCCATCCTCGACATCAGACGTACCAAGGTTCATGGCACGAATGGTCGTCGTGTCGGCGCACTCAATGATAAGGTGTTCTGGTGTTTCCCCCTTTTCTCACAAAAATCTGCATTCGCCGTTGTTTCTCAGTTTCAGCCTACTGAGGTGTTCGTTGAGGAGACAGTGTCCTGTTACAGGCGACAGGCGATACAACAAATTTTTATTTAAACACGGGGATTTATAATACAACAATTTTATCCCCAACAAAATGCCTTAAATAATATTTCATTGTAGAATGAAGCGTTATATGATAAAACTGTTTAATGAAGAACAATATACAGGCGCTATACCACTGTTCTTCACAAAGTCCCCTTGTCAAATGTTTTATAATGCAGCGCCGGTTCATCGTAACAAAATATTTATTATACCCGATTATAGCATTCTTTTAGGACAAGCTTAAGTAACTATTCTGTAACGCTGTCACTACTAGTTCTATGAAACTGTTTTATACAATACGTATACAGGTGTTATAAAATAATATTTATTTTTCTAGTTGATTTCCTAAATATTTTCAAGATTACTGTGTAATTGACTAATAGTCAAATAAATAATTTGTAACTAGTTATAATAATATTTTATAGAACATCTGTATCAAAATTAAATTTGAGGCAATTATAGCAGTAGAAACTACGTAATATATTAAAAAAAACATGGCTATAAAAAAGGGAGGGGGTCTACTAAAAGATCCAAATATATGAAGAAGAAAAATATATCTAAATATTTTCGATTTCTCCTAACGTTCCAAGAATTTAGAGGGCAACAATATTCAGAATTTTCAAAGGAAAAGGAATTTTGTTACATAACGAAAAGATTCAGTATGAAGTCATCTAACAAATATGGAGGTTCGATAGGGTGGTGACGAAATTAGACTTCGAAGTAGAAGATTTTATGGAGATTGAATAAAAATTGAATTTAATAGTATACATGTTAAGCTTGGAGTGTGTATTTGTATACTTTGAGTCTAATTTACAGATTACCTGGAGAGAACACACTATCCACAAGTCTAGATTGATTTGTTATTTTTGACGAAAAGAAAAACTTTTTGTGTAAATACTCAATTATTTATAAACATATAGGTTTTATCCATATAGTGTATATATCTATTACTAAATTACAGTTGAGAGTTGGAACCTTATTTGGCGTTAAACCAGCAAAATAAAACACTAATCACCACAATACACCAAAATATTTTTAATCATTAGCTGATGTTGCTAACATGGTTAAGTTTAAAAAAAATAAGTTTAAAATTATAAAACATCTGTATTTCTACTAGGAACTCATGTAAAAGATTAGAAACAACTAAAATATTGCCAGGATCGCTAGCTTTAGCGACATCTTACGATACAATAAGAACGTTATCTCAATCTTTAATTTTACCATAAAAACAAGTCGCATTACGACTAGAGAGGGTAACTTAATGAAAATGGGCTATTTTTCTTATTACAAATTCCCCTAGTAATCCTTGTAGTCCGGGAGTCAGCGACAGAGTTTATAGATTTCCATTTCACAAAACCATGAACTTTTTTTTTATGGTTGATCTCGCGTTCTAGGTATGATAATGGGCCATCAGCTTATGCGTTGAGTATTAGAGTAAATCTAGAGGAAAGAAACAACAGAAAAAAAGTAGTTTTTAAAATCAAAACAAAAAAATATTACTTTTTAAATATTACGTGACCTTGCGCGAAAAACGACAAAAAATATATTTATTTTATCGAGGGCTATCTATCAGCCCTGAACATATTTGCACTTATTTGAGACTTACCCTGTATAGTAAAGACATGAAGAATATTTCTGTAGGTATGTATGTTAACATTATTTTTCAATTCATTGTTGCCAGTAATGGATTATTATGGATAATATATTATGGATATAATAATGGACTATTATGGATGTGGTTGCCAATAATGGATATTTAATATTCGGCTCCGGGCTGACTATCTTGAATTTAAATTTCCCGCTGGGGATTCAGGTGGTAGCTCTGCTGTAATAAATGTCAGGTTGCCACATCTATTTATTTATTTCCTGACATTGTCATTTGTTTTGACACTTTAGTTTTGTATTACGAGTTTTTGGTTTAAATAAATAGTGTTGTGATACTTTAAAATGTTTACAAGCAGACCTTGCAGTTGAACATTGTTCTTTTTAGAACCTCTTTAAGTGTGAAGTGATACAAGATAGCTTAATAGCCGTAAAAACTCATCGCAACAATATTTTGAACCTGAAAGCGGTAGTAATGGCCCTTTTTCTCCCTTAAGTAGTGATTCCCACGAGAGTCTCGTTTTCGAGAGTCTCGTATGGTCTCGTGAGACGATACTGGGACACTACGAGACGAGACTTTTAATGGTCTCGTCTCGAGTCCCGTACAAGAGTCTCGCAGGTGAACACTTGAAAAACCTTTACTTAAGTTCCGAAGTGCGTGTAAAGCAACTGATAATTCTCGGCAACTGACACCTGTGTTGGATGTACCTACACGCTGGAATTCCAGTAATGATATGTTGCAAGTAGCTCTTAAAGGCAGACATGGACTCGGTGTATTATGTCAAAATGTTGTTGATTTAAAACCATATGCTCTTAGAGATGAAGAATGGATAGTGCTAGAAGAAGTGCACAAATTATTAGTCAACTTTCAAATATTTACCTATGGTTGTTGTATGTATCTGTTATATATAATAGATAATCTTGAGAGCAAAATATATGAATGGGACAAAAAAAACAAATCGAACCCCTGTCGAAGAGCAGCTTATTGTTGGTTTTCAGGCTGCGAGAGACAAAATACTAAAGCATTATCGTTAAACGAACTGGATTTATGCTGCAGTTTTAATTCTCGATACACGTCATAAGTTAGAAACGTTTGATATGACAAAATGGGGTCAAGAATTAAAAGATAATTCGATTCAGAAATTTCAAGATATTTTTAAAGTCTATTTTCATCAATTAGAGGGACAACGTTCGACAGAAACAGCGGTGGCGCGACAAGAACGAGAAAATCCTGGACCTGAAAAGTCGGACTTTGTAATTGATTTTGATGCCTTGTACGCAGTAAATCCTACCCCTGCCGAAGGAGAATGGATGCAGGAGCTTCAAAAATACTATTCAATTCCCCGGTGTAATAAAGACACAGGTATATTACAATGGTGGAGAACTCATAGTTATGAACTTCCCATTTTAAGTTTGATGGCACGAGATCTCTTGAGTATACCAGCTACCTCAATCCCGGCGGAAAGGTTATTCTCTCGTGCTGCGTTAACCATTAGAAAACACAGAAATCGCCTTAATAATCTGCACGATGTTTGTTATGCCTAAATGACTGGGTGAGAATCAAAAACATCTGCGACCGAGAAGGCTGTTAGTACCTATATTATTCTTTTTACTTATTTTTAAAATTAATGTTAAGTTTTTGGTTTTTGTTTTGGTTACGTATTACTATGACATATATGATTTTTATGTCCAACCAAAACAAAACCAAACCAAACTTTGGGAACACGTGACTTGAGATCAATCTTTTTTTACACAAGTCCGCACCCTGAATGTTTAGAAGTAATTGTAGCCTAATAAATATGCTAGTTGTAGCCTAATAAATATCGATTAGTTAATAAAAAATAAACAAGAAAAATTAGATAAATTACAAAAATGTTCCGGTTTCTTTACAAATGTCACGTGATCCCAAGTTTATTTTGTACAAATTATAAATACATATCCCGTACTGGACTGGAACAAGGATTATGCATGACGAAATTTCGATACTTTCACGAGACTCTCGTACGAGACGCGAGACGAGACGAGACTGGAGGCTCCGAGACGAGACTCGATACGAGACTTCTTATTTTATCGGCGAGACGAGACAAGACTTTATGAAAGTCTCGTCTCGTTGGTCTCGTGGGAATCACTACCCTTAAGTGCTGTAAAGAAGGTGATTTTTGTTGATGTAAATAATAACTGTTTATATATTTATAGTTAATTTATTTTTGTTACTTAAAATATTTTGATTAAAAGAAAATATGTAAAAGTGGGCAACGTTGTGCTTAATTACGTGACTAATACGAACTATACATATTCGTGATATCATCAACTTTGAAACTTCAATTTACTGAATTATTGTCTCTGATTGGACAACCTTTTATATTAAAAGAAGTCGCAAGCTCCCGGGCTATACTGCATAACCGAAAACAGCAAGGTCATCGTACTATGTAGCACTATCTCCACCGTTTGGCCGATAAAATTTTCCCCTACGATCCAGTGGAGTAGTGGAACTGGTATTAAACGGGAGTTTAGAGTGCTTTTGGGCCTTTAGCAAAACTCTAAAATTTACAGTAGAAGCAGATAAATATAATATAGCGGATTAAAATAAAGCATTACTTAAATTTTCTATATAATATATAAAATAATCAGAAGATATTTCTTTGGTTGTTAAAGATTTACTTTTAATATTACAAGTACTAATCTAGAGATAATGGCCATTGACGAATGTAAAAAATAATATTATTTTTATTACCTATTACTCTTAATATTTCTTCCTTTATTTAAAAAAGTAGATGTAGATGTAGATGTACAGGGTGGCTCGAATTCGACGCTCATTATTGGGATTTCGGAAACCGTAAGAGATACAGGATCGGTTGAATGGAGGCAAAGTTGCGCAATTTGATGCTCAATAAAATGCCGTATTGAATTTTGAAAAATTCCGAATACCTACTTCCAAATATATTCGAAAAGAAACGGAATGTTCAATTTTGTTTTCTATTGTTTCCTGGCTTTATTCGTTAAGATAACTTAAAATAAAAAACACATTTTCATGGCCACTTTTTCTGCTTTATAACTCTGATTAAATATTGACTCTGACGTTTCGGCTTCTGGCGACCATAATCAACTTAATTTTTTTAAATACGGACCTGATTTTTTTTTTCAATTTAATTAAATCCTGTCATCACTCACCAGAATATTTTATGCAAAAAAAATAAAAATGCAATATGGCATTTTATCGAGCATCAAATTGCGCAACTTTGCCTCCATTTAACCGATCCTGTACCTCTTACGGTTCCGAAATCCCAATGATGAGCGTCGAATTCGAGCCACCCTGTATAACAAAGTAGAAAAATCTTAATTAACTCAATAATCATTTTTAACTTGACAAATTAATAAATATGATTTATTGTATTTGAGCAGCTTAAAATATTTTTAGCAAGAAGAATTTATCATCACAGATATCATTCGTATTCAAGAAAATAAAACGAAGGTTTGGTAGTACGGGTAAAGGTTGATTCTCTCTATACCTTCCATATCAGCTACCTTTCGTTTTTTGACGGACGGACTGAAGCGTATCGGAAACAGCGTTGTCAAGTTTTCACATCATTTTTTGTTTTAACTGCCACCAAAATGTTAACCAGTTGTTAAAGTTAGACAAAGACGAATGAGACAGCTATGTTGAAGTAATGTCAGATATATCTCAGCCACCTAGATTTTATCAAATAATAAAGATCTACTCAGATCAAATCATGTAAATGAAAATATCTAGAAAAATCTTTGTTTGGGGGGTAGGTAACCTTAATAGTATTTTGAAGAGACATGCATTCTCCATTGAATATCGGAATAATGTACTGGGAGTTCTATTTAAAATAAAAGAGTAACGTACTTTTGAAGGTGACCAAAGTTCAATATTAATTTTGTCTCAGCCTGTATAACTTTTTGGATCAAATTTTAATTTGATTTAAAGTGCAATAGTTAAATTAACTATATATTAGGTTATACCGGGTAAATTCCAATTTAGGTAGCTTTTATTGTAATTTAAAAATTTATTGTTCTTTATTGCTAGAAAATGTTAAATATGTCAAAAACCCTACATTTTAGTCATATACTTCTCTTATAAAACTCACCTTTATTTTTCCCCCAGAATCCGAAAATCAATTAATATATAGGATGTCCCATTACAAAAAACAGAACTTTGATACGTAACTTTTTTGGGGACACACTGTAGAACTCTCTATATTTTTAAAAAGTGCTCTGAATTAACCTACATATACTTACAAAATTTCATTACAATAAAAACTTTCGTTGTTCTTGGAGCCTCCGCGACGTAGGAGAGGCGCCACCCTGTACAGTATTTCCTGTCAAAAAAATGAAATTATTCGAATTAGAATTTTGAGAGGGCTTTAAATAAACAGTAAATTTAGTTTAAAAACGGATATGTTCCAAAAACCACTCGGTATAGTGTGTGACATTATGGTATTTTTGGAATGGAAATTTAATGCTAATTCAATGAATCCACTAAAATATAATAGTCGAGATAATAGTATTCCATTTAAAAATATAACATGTCGAAAATATGTTTGATTCACCCTCTATGTTGATATTATATTGTTTTATTAGGAGTAAAAATGACACCTTTCGCTGCGCGGCTGTACGTTTGACGGAACAAGCGTTAGCGAGTCCGGCATTACAAGCGAGGCACAAAAAGTCATTTTTACCCCGAATAGAATATGCTATTTTTTTTCAAACGCCACAAATAATTTTTTAAACAATTTTAAACGTTCCAAATAATAAGAACAGCTATCTAGCAACTACCGCACCTGATCGTTCAACCTTGTGGCAAGTGAGAAAATGCGTAAACATCTAGAAATAATAAGAAAAAACAGCAAATTGGTCGAAGGAATTTATCCTTATCAATTACTCTGATAAATGTTTAAATAAACTTTTCAAATTTCAATCCTTCATACCTATTTTCTCAATGACTCGACCGATTTTCAAAAACGAAGCGGGAAAGTATAGAGAATAGAAAGCCCTTTTCATTGCGGTACGACTTGACCCCCCTTCCCATTTGAAAAAAATTGGGGGATGACACCCCCGCTTAGAGGGTTGAAGATTTTGCAATCATTTTTGGGGCAAAAGTTGTCCCCCTCACAAACAAAATTGACCTGTTTTTGAATTTTCCAAAAAATATATTACCTTGGCCGTTATGCCTTGCGGAACGTTTTCGATGGACCACCCTGTATATCGAGAAACTATGGTTACGCGCATTGAATTTGACATTTTATGTCAGTTTAATAAAATAGTAGATTATTTTCTTTTATCTATGGTTTAATAATACAAAAAAATAAATGACTTTTTTATATTGTCAATATCGTCGCAAAAATTAATTCTTTTGTGACGTTTGAAAAAAATATATATTTTCAAAATGTGCGTTAGAATTGCCGCTACATTATGTAAAAAAATTAAAATGAAAATCACTAATCAAAAAACTGATATAGAACTTTTTCGGACACCTGGGACACATATTTCACAAGTACTGAAACTCAAACTTTAGAAATAATATTACAAAAATACTAAATTTTATTCCAAATATATATGAATATATGTAGTATTTTTGAAAACAAATGCAAAAATTATGTTAAATTATCTCCAGTAAAACACACAAAAATTTCATAAAATTTAAACTCCTAAATTTATACCTCTAGAGCCGTACAAACAAAAAAAAAACAAATGATAAACAACTGGAATTATTTTCTGAATGGACTCTTAATTTATGATTGCAGTGCATTTATCATCTATCAAGAACACGCGTTCCTATCTTCGTTTAAAATGCAAGTTATTTAATAACAGGCGATTACTTGATAAAATTCTAGAACAGTTGTTTCTGTCGCGTTATATTTTACAAAGGAAGAAAACGGCCGAGACCGATTCGTACTGGTGCAAGTGAACGGAAAATAATGGGATCGAGTGGAATGTCTTGCTTCCTGTTTAAAACTAGACGGATTACAATGGTCAGGAACAGAAATACTTCAGTCGAGCTCTTATAGTTAGATTTATATACTTCATATTCAATTCAGCCGTTTAAAAACACTGGTAAATGCTGGTTTAAGATGAATGGTTGTGAGTAGTTTTTATTTTAATTTAAAATGATTGTGTGAAAACTGCTATAAAAGTAAAACTTCATTCAGAATCTCTAAATTAGTGGAATAAGTTAGTGCTTTCAATTATACTTATACTTTAGACTTAAGAGTTTAGGTTAGATTAGGTTGCTGGGGTTTGGGATCCTGTTTGATCCATTATCCGGAGGCCTTGGGTCTACTGCGATACCTCTGTACAGGGTGCCGCCTCTCATACGCCGCGGAAGCTCCGAGGGAAACGGTA